GGATATAGCTCGCTAGCAGCCTCGCACCGAGGACCTATCCACGTCATCATTTACCCAGAATGCTTTGTGTGTAAATAAAATGGCCCCGTCTGTGTTAAAATATATTTTTAAAAATTTACAAAACTAAACAGCCTACAGTATTTTTACAGTCTTTATTTTACAGTTAAAATAAATGTTTATCAAATAAAGTCTAATGTTACAACTAATCAGGGATCCCTTCAAAGGACACCCTACAAGTTCATTTAAGGTTTGAATATATGTTTACAACCATCATGTTTCGGGGCTGTTTGGCATGTCTGACAGTCTGTCTTTGCTCAGCTCTGTCAGAGATGGAGTCCATGCTGCTGTCTGTGTTGAAGGATAGGAAAGCCCAGAGGAAACAGGCGGTGTTTGTCGACACGCTCCTTCAGTCCAGTCTCACAGAGCAACAGGTGACGTCTCAGAATCTAAAAACCTTCAGTAGTGAGAGGAACTGAACTGAACTGAATGTTCCTATTGGTTTCAGATCAAGGAGGACTGCATGGTTTTTACTTTGGCTGGATGTGTTATCACAGCTAACTGTAGGTGACCTGCAACCAAACTCAACAATAAAACCCATCTTATTTTCTGTATTTAATTTAAACAGTCTTGTTTTGTCAGTGTGCATCTGGGCACTTCACTTCCTGTCCACCTCAGAGGAAGTCCAAGACAAGTTGTACCAGGAGCTGGAGGATGTTTTGGGTTCTGATCCAGTTTCCCTGGACAAGATTCCTCAACTCAGGTGAGACCCAGAAACCTTGACACGGCTAAAACGAGCCCATCCTTCACATTTAGGCCCACCCAGAAACCATCAGTATTCTCAGCCGGATCACATCTGTGTCTTTGGATAGATACTGCCAGCAGGTTCTCAACGAGACCGTCCGGACTGCTAAGCTGACCCCTGTTGCTGCTCGGCTCCAGGAAGTGGAGGGCAAAGTGGATCAACATGTCATCCCCAAAGAGGTATCAGATATCTTGCTGCTCGAGGCTCGCAGCCCCTGGCAAATAGCTGCACATTTTTCACGACTGAATTTAACAACAAATTCATAAAAGTGCACAAGGTTGTGTTTCATGTGCAACCCCAAATCTAAAGGAGTTGTGATGTTGTGTTAAAATTTAAATAAAGGCAGATTGCAATGATTTTCATATCTCATATTGTAATCACAGTACTTATATTTATAAAGCGACGCCCTATTTTTTAACTTAAAAACATAAAAGCCTGATCCTCATGTTTAATGTTGCCTTTAATTTCATATAGATTTTTCAGTCTTTGCCCTGTGGTGGAAAACAGATTGTTTTGGGTGGATTTGTGTGTGTGTGTGTGTGTGTGTGTGTGTGTGTGTGTGTGTGTGTGTGTGTGTGT